CCCTAGGCAACAGCTCCAGATTTTGTCTACTCCAGTTTTCATAAATCATCCTCACTATCCGCACAACTTCGCAGAACTCTCTCCAGTTGAAATCACCACTTAGGTCTGTTTTATGAGTCAGTAGATTACAATAATTAGCTATAGGAAACATTTCAGAGTAAAGGCTGCAACACACATAGGTGTACGTTTAATAAACTGTGAAAGAGTGTGATAAGCAGTGACAAGGCTTTTCTCACCTTAGCAAAGTGAAAAGTCTAGAAAATGCTGTTTAATAACCCGAGATAAGTCAGGTAGGAACAGAAATATCTCACCTCTTCTCATCCTGGTGATAAGTACACAGAAAGTAATGGGAATGTACCTGTTTAATAAAAGGAGAAAAGTAGAGAACAGCTTTATCACGAGATAAGTATTGTGCAAAGTACCCTTGATTTAGCACCCTGTCAGACCTGGTGCTAAAGGCCTTTTTCTTGAGAAGCACTGAGCAAAGATACAGGAACTTGTCATAAACCTAGTTTCTTTAGGAACCACGCTAGGACACGCGCACGAACGGGAAATTGGCTTTGAATGTAAACATCCAGCGATGGCTGTTTACATACAAGTGTTCAGACGTCTGTGGAGACGTCCGATCACTTGTAATATGCGTGCGTTTGTGCGGCCCCCCCTCCGTTGTCGGTGGCGATCCCGAGCTCCGCTGTGCCTAGAAAAACTACAGTGTAGACAAGCTGCGGTGCGGTGCGAAGTGGAAGGTTGGGGTTTTTTTCCCTTTGCTTCACATTGCATTGCTTCGCCTGCAATGTGTCACAACCTTGAGAGGGAAAAGGAGGGAAGTCTGTCTTAATGCCACCCTTCCCTCATGAGAGTGACATTGGCAGTTTCAAGTCCCCTCACTGTATCTGTGTAGTGTGAGGGAAAGTTCAGTAAGGTCATGTGACCTTAGGGCTTGTTGTTGAAGTCTCACTCTCCCTCAGGAACAGGCCCACCAAATAAAGCTTGAAGGATGTCTGGGGAGTATGTGTTTGAGGCAGATGCAGTGAACATTGCACTCCACACATAACAGTCTGTAACACTATTTCGCCACCATGGTCCGCCGTTTATGATGCATTAACCAGTTGACATCCGTGGTGTTAAACCCCCTTCCCATCCAGGCCATTTTTCAGTATTCAGCGCTGCGGTACTTTGACTGACATTTATTCCGTCATGCAGCGCTGTACTGAAATGAATTTTATAC